CACGCTGAAGTGAAGAAGAATCCTGCTTATTGGGTGATATTTATCCCAGCACAACATCATCAGCATATTTACACCCTATACACGCGGTTCTTTATAGGGAGATGTTCAACATAAAAGGACAAATAGAAAAGGTGATAAGATCGCTTTCTGTAGAACACCACAGACGGTACGGAGGACAGAGGATTTCATACCGTGCAACTTGGCGAAGTGAGTACGATCTGTAAAATAGTCACGTAACAGATTGCACACAACAGGTTGAACTCCATTTTCGGATAACAGGTTTAGCAACCTTGACCTATCCATTCTTCAGACGAAATTCGACTAATCCAGGAAGAGAAGCTGTACGGATTTGGAGCTTTGATCTAATACTGAGGCTAAAAAATGAACAACAAATATTACTGCATCCAATGTTGTAGGGTAATGTCTATACGCAAAATGATAAATATCGTCTTCAGGCTCGGCAGAAAAAATCCGCGGAATTACCCGTCTTTCGAAAACCTGTAGGAGCACAGATGTACTTGCAATCAGGCGATAGTTTTGATATCCAGTTTTTTAATACTGGAGTAATACTGGCCGTTCCCCAAATGTCCGGTGGCACGCTCGCAGTGAGGCCTTTGTTAAAGAATTCTGTTAGTGTCAGTGTGAGAGAATCAGCACTCTCCTTCATAGCTAACGGTAGAAGAGCACTCGGACCACAAGCTTTGATCGTCTTTAATCTGTTGAGTTCCTTGTGGACGTAGCATTGATTGAAGGGTGCGGCTAGACTTAAGCTAATGAAGAAGAGCATGGAAGACGAGCTTTGTGAGGCGGAACTAAATTCCGAATGCAGTTTATCCACATCCTCTTCACCACTTCCGGCACCAAACGCCATTAACCACAAGATCTTGCCTACAAATGCCTCCAAAGATTAGCGACGGTATGGTCCCTAAAAACTGCTTCGATTATGATTCGATTTGTCTTTTATCTGCGAGATTACTTGCCGTGGTTAGGAGTGCCATTATGTCACGAGTTAACATTCTTGCACTTGTGGCCCATCTTTCATCCTGAATTCAGCTTTAGTTAGTATCATACCGTGCAACTTGGCGAAGTGAGTACGATCTGTAAAATAGTCACGTAACAGATTGCACACAACAGGTTGAACTCCATTTTCGGATAACAGGTTTAGCGACCTTGACCTATCCATTCTTCAGACGAAATTCGACTAATCCAGGAAGAGAAGCTGTACGGATTTGGAGATTTGATCTAATACTGAGGCTAAAAAATGAACAACAAATATTACTGCATCCAATGTTGTAGGGTAATGTCTATACGCAAAATGATAAATATCGTCTTCAGGCTCGGCAGAAAAAATCCGCGGAATTACCCGTCTTTCGAAAACCTGTAGGAGCACAGATGTACTTGCAATCAGGCGATAGTTTTGATATCCAGTTTTTTAATACTGGAGTAATACTGGTCGTTCCCCAAATGTCCGGTGGCACGCTCGCAGTGAGGCCTTTGTTAAAGGATTCTGTTAGTGTCAGTGTGAGAGAATCAGCACTCTCCTTCATAGCTAACGGTAGAAGAGCACTCGGACCACAAGCTTTGATCGTCTTTAATCCGTTGAGTTCCTTGTGGACGTAGCATTGATTGAAGGGTGCGGCTAGACTTGAGCTAATGAAGAAGAGCATGGAAGACGAGCTTTGTGAGGCGGAACTAAATTCTGAGTGCAGTTTATCCACATCCTGTTCACCTCTCCGGCCCCAAACGCCCTTACCACAGATTTGCCTCAGATGTCCCCATAGATTGCGACGGTTATGGTCGCCTAGAACTGCTTCAATGTAGGATTGGTTTGTCTTTCATCTCGGATCTACTTGCCGTGGTTAGGCTTTTGACAGGGATAACATTCTTGCACTTGTAGGCCCATTCTTACATCCTTCGAATTCGCTTTAGTAGTGGTGAGGAAACTCTACCTGCTCTTAGAGAGATGGTTTCAATGGGGCAAAACAGGTCAAAGGAATATTTGATGTAATTCGTTAGGTGGTCACATTCGAGCCACAAGTCCTCGTATTTGAAGACCTGAAACTCGGTTAAAGAAAACATCTTCTGCAGTCTTGTGATATTTTCCAAGGAGTAAATTCGCCGTTTGATAACCTTGTAAGGTCGTCTGGTCAGCGTTAATTAATTAGATCTACTGTAGATTACTGGATACGGTTTGAAAATATAATAATCAGAGCAGTTCACAATAGCTCGAATTTATTTGTCAACTAACTGTCGTTTATTTGTGAACACAGTGTCCAAATGGGTATTTTGTCTGGTCGAAACTGTCTGAATGCTAGAACGTATGCGTTAGTATCATTAGCAAAATGACTGGCAAGTGCTCCTTCTGAATGTAACGCATTAGCTAAAAGTGACTTGTCTGGGAGTTGTAAGGAAAATAAAATATGATATCTTCTATTCAAACGTCGATTTTAACAGGACTGGTACAATTTGCACAGAGTAACATACAGACTGGAAGCGTCTGTTTTGCAGATTATTCCTACGTCGAAGCAACCGATGAATAGTTTTCTCAATGCAATAGCAGTTTATTAAATATCAACACACTTGTGAGGTAGGTTGCTGTTTTGGAAAATTGGCTAGCAGCAAGTATCAAATGATTGTTAGTCCCCTACCAAAAATCTCCTAAGCTAATCGGCTTGGATAATGGCAGTCAGCACGCACACTTGCTTTGACAATGTTTCATTTCTACTAATCTGAGTATTACTCATTTCTGGATGATCTGACTGATTATTTATTAGAGATTACTCGTTGGATGCAGTAAGGAGAGATATTTCTGTGTGGCTACATCTAAAATCACACAATTTCAAAGACCCGTTATGTTGAAGTGTGCTCGATATATTTTATATCGGCATGGCGTTTGTCCAGGAATTCCTTAAATTCCCCTACCAACTTTGCCTCAACAGTTGGCTGCAGCAGGTTATTCCATACATTCACCACCCTTCATTCGAAACAGGTTTGGTGAGCGACCCGCTTCAAGTGCCGTACTAAAAGCTTTTACCGGTGTCTTTGTGTGCTGGTTGGTGTGCGTAGTTATAGCAACAGCCTCAAAATTATGTGTTTACCGTGATGTAATATCCGGTGCTTCATGATGCGATCGAATCACAATCGACCGGAAGCTAGGGTGTAATGCCCTAGATTCTTAGGAGCGGTCTTCTTATGGCACACCTCTTAAATTGGGAATCAGCCTGGTAGCCACATGCTGCACACCTTCAATATTTTCTACGTCACCCCCGGTGATAGGCGAATACACGGGAGCGCCATATTCTAGCATTGGTCGTATCATCGAGAAGAAGAGCGAGTAGCAATCTCTTCGGTCCAAACATTACGAAGGCCGTTTTAGTACAGCCTTTTCGTGTTGTCCATAGAATTTATTTCGTAGCGTGAGCGCACCTTAAGTTCTCGCACTGAAGGCGCGGGATGCAACGATTGACATGCCACCGTGTATGTTCACCTGTGCTCACACTTACCAAGCCTCATGTGTTGCGGTGTGTCCGGGTTGATTGGTAGCTTGACATCTGCAGACCACGTGGAGAGGCGGTCGAGGTCCGGCTGAAGCACATCAAATTCATTAGGTATGTAGATTACCCTCCACTACTTCAAGTCATCTGCAAAGGACGCACAAGGTCAAGGGAGTAGCTGAGGCACATCGTTTACATGGATCATGGACAAAATGAGCCCAAGTGCAGTGCCTTGGGTCGCGCCACTGCTTGATGGATACCAGTCGGTCAAATGGTTGCCGACCTGGAACCTCTACTATAGACCAAAAATAAAATTCCTGCTCCGTCGTTGCAGCAAGCTGACAAAAACGCACACCCACAGCCTGTCAAAGAACACAGCCTGATATTACTTATCGAAATCATTACTGAAGTCAATGGAAATATCCTCGATCGACTTGCTTTGTTTTATCGATTGCAACCATTATTGGCTTGTCAACAGTAGGTTGGTGATGCAAGAGCAAGCTTCCACGAAACCATGCTGTGCGGTTGACAAGAGCATTTTCGACTCGAGAGGCTTCGGAAGACTCTTCTTCTTAGTCGGCTTAAGCGTCTTTGCTAAAACTGCAGTAAAGCAGATCGGCCGATAGTTATCCACTTCGCTTGGGTCACCATCTTTCGGTATTCGCTTTACGACTGGGTAATTTTAGTCGCCTGTTAATAAACCCGTGGTAAGTGACCTGTTGAACAGCTGAGTTACAAAAAGCTAGATGATATTTGATAGGGACTTGAGAATCAGTGAGTCGTACCCAGCTGGCCCGACAGGATTCCTACTGTCATAACTTACTAGCAGCCTGCTACATCTTCAATGATGTAAATCAGACTGTTGAATTATGCTGGGCGGTGCATGTCAAACTCGGTACGGACACCTTGGTACATGCAAATGCGAATGCGAAGTGTGCCGCCATTACGGACGCACGATCTGTGCTCGAGGTTAAAAGCTGTCCATCTGAGCCTTCCAACACTGGCAAATTGCGTGCAGACTTCAAGCGCTGCTTCACGTAGGCAAAGATCCTCTAGGGAGCAGTTTTGCTGCTGCTGCAAGCTGCTCTTTGAGGCTTTCGCGCTGGGTTATTTTTGTGTTGTTGCAATGTTTCGCAGTAACTTGTAGTCCTCGTCAGAGCCAAATAAGAGGAATTTGTTACATAATCCGGGTCTTCGTCCTGCCCGTTTGCTGTAGTACTAGTTGAACCAATGTGGTTTGACTGACAACTTTCCGATACTTGAGTGGTACAAGTCGAATGCACAACAATTTCACTCCCTCTTTATGATAGCCTAACAGGCTTAAAAAGACGAATCCTCTGGTAAAGACAAGTCTTTCTGGCTTGCTGCTCGAGTAAGGCCATTAAAGTCCGTCTTCCAATGGTTAAAGGCTGGCTTCAGAGGGGTGAATACGGTAGCGGCAATTCCTAGTTGGCTATGAACGTCGTGTTCACTCGCTCCCAGGTGCTCCCAGACCTGAATATCACCATGGAGTCGCGCGCGCAACTACGCGCATCAGCAGGTTAGTGTGCAATTTAAACAAGAATGTCGTACCCTAGCAATAATTTAACTAGCTTTGAATTATTCTAATTGGCCATTCTAGACAAGCAGTCGTCTACTTAGCGATCGGCCTTTATGTACTTGATCTAGGTAATCTCATTAGGACATTTATCGAGATAATGCATAGTTAATATTGGTACACCCATTTTTGTCACTAATGTTCTTGATGGTTAAATGATACAAATATCATGGTTATTCTGGAGGTATATTGCTAGGCAAATGACTAAAGTGTTATACGCGGTTCTTTGTATGTAAAAGCAAATAAAATATATTTTGACAATCACTGCATTGGTGTTAACATAATGCAATGCGCTTGATTGGTTAATTTCCAAGGCAACGCATGACTCAGCGCACTTGAACAATGTCATAAACTATAATCCGACCTCCAAATTGTTTCCACTCCGTCGGATTCGACCTTGTGTTCGCCAATCACCAAAAGATAAATTAACAACAAAACGTATAAATAAAGCCACTAACAGAAGGTGCTGTGTCAAAATTACCGTTGGGACGTATAAAACTTCCGGGTACGTTCGGTTTTTATGATGGACAAAAGTTGTTAAAAATCTTGTTGTGACTTTCATACCATACATATTCCATAACTGGGGCTAACAAGATTCCGACATTTCAGCCAGAAAAGAAAATGAAATTTTTTGCATTGTCCATGTTGTGCGCGCTTTTGTTTGCCTCCACATGGCGTGTGAACGGGTACACATTTATATTAGCTGCACACAAAGATAGTCAAGGTGAGTCCTACGATATCAATTATATGCACATCTACACATTGCTTTTTATATTTGTGCGTGGTGGGGTTATATACTGCCCCTTTCGCACTGATATCTTATTGGTACCAATGAGTGTAGTTTAAATGATCGTCGTAAGAAATCTAGGTGCATCTATTTTTAATATATAGGAGTAAAAGAATCACATAAAAGTACCCTAGGCAATTTCAAACGATACTATTAATTTTTATAACATTTCGCTCCACTCTGTCGATTCCAAATTCTTAGTACTTGTAAAGTAACTGTTCAAACCGTTTAAATTCCAGGCCATTTGCACACATCATACGATGATAAAGATTACGTCGGTGAGGTTGGCGATGTGAAGAAGTTCAAGGATAGCCAGAATTGCAGTGTAACGCTAGAATTCCTTCAGCGGAGTGTGACTGGATTTAAGTGAGTTGATCCCAGCTTCTAGTGTAGCAAACAAGTAAATAGATATGTCACAGTCAACGGCTCAAATATTGATTTTCTGTTACAGACTTTGTCAGTGAAAATAACGGAAATATCTCGAAAAACATGGAATGAGAACCGAAGTTACTACAGCTTTGTGCTGAAATTGCAAAATATATGCTTTTAACCTGCGTGTTATTCGAAAAGTATCGTTGGGAAATTATTGGAAATGGGTTGCTGACATATACAATGCTATCTACCAGTAGAATGTGGTCATATCAGAGCAACGTTTTATGGCACTATGTAAATAAAATCTGTTTCTTCTTAACCGATAAAATTAGTGTAAATCTTATATGCAACATCAAAACGCAAACGACCTTTAACGTCTGTTACATATTAGTCAAATTAAAACTCCTCCTATGGCCTCGGGAAATTAGTTCACACTATGGAAAGCCTGTGAAGGATATCACTATTTGTTGGTATACTATTGTGGCGATGATCTTTTTAATAGCGTATATCTTTATTTGTCAAAAATCATTACATAGAAGAAAATAGGAGCTGGTATAGCTTATTCCGTAGATCATAGAATTCTTTCACATCGCAGGCTTTAAATTCCCTGTGTGTAGATTACCTCGTTTTACTATTGTATCTTGTTTTTCCATCAAAATGCAAACTGTAAGCAATGGGGGAAAACAGCGCACTGTATTTTATCTTCGACTTCGAAGAAATAGCTTCTACGATGACCAGCGACCCCCGTCGCTCTTACATGCTGATCTGTCCACTTCCCTGTGTTTTGCGCTTAGAGTAACTTGAACTGCACGATTTGGCTTGCGTGCCAAATCGCTTGTGGTACCAGCAATTGGATGGTCTAGGTGGGGACTTCGAAGAGGATCGAGATCGGAGGTTAGATAGGAAACTGAAATAGCTGCTAGTCCTTTATTAAGCTCGTCCAACTGCGCCCTGCGTTCCGCTAACAGCATCAGAGGCCGATTGAAACTGTGAAACTTAGGAGTAAGACTCCCATATACTGTCGACAGGGGCGGCCAACAGGGACAGTGAAGCGTCACCATTGGCAAAAAGCAAGTGACATACTTCACGTGGTAGTCGGTGTCACCACATCTCCCGGAGAAAATTGTCATCTACAGAGGTGGGTTTTGCTAGACTCTGCATTTTTCTTAGCAACTGAAACGGTTTAAGATCAGCGAACTGCCTTTCGCCTAAGCGTTATGTTAATGTTTGTTGGCCAGTCAAGCCTGTTCTCTTCAGAACTGCGGCTTTAATTCTTTAATAAATCTGCTAATCTAGAATGTCATCCAGGTGGTAGATAACATGCGGAGAGAGCATGGCTACGATATGGTGGAACTTAATGTAACTGGACTCAGTAGGGCGTAAAAAAACTGCGATTGTACCTGCGAGAACCCAGCCTTAGGCTTAGACTCGCGAAAACGTGGTACAGGATGAATGACAGTACTAACCTTTGCGTCAGAATCTGGATTTATAAGCTTCATGGAGAAAATTACTTAACCAGCAGAATGGAAATCACAATTTTAAAGTAGAGTAAATTATAAATGTAGACGGAAAATGATGACGAATCTGAAAAGAAAGGTTACTAGAAGACAGACTAATTGTAAGTGCGTCACCAATTATAGGTCGGGTGTCACCATGTATAGGTCAGAGGTCACCGATAATATCGAGTTGTTCTAACAGCATATCTGAAACTATGGTCTGTATGGCCAACCAAAGGCGTGCGGTAGAACACACTGAAATAAGATAGAAAATGTTCATTAGGAGGATGCTAAATCTTAAGAATAAAAGTACGGCATCAAAAGATTACTAGCTAAGGAGTATGTGGTAAGGTCTTGAATGTGATCAACGAACCGACGTTATTTTTGATGCCCTCGGGCAATCTTCGGTTGTTTTATGTGTGTCGCATACAAACACGTGCACCATACAAACATGAAAACCACCTACTTCCATAATACATGCGAAAACTACTATCTCAGAGTATTTAGGATGGCTTTACATTTCAAGCAGCAGAATCTTTAAGTCACTACAAATGGACAGCTAGAAACGAAAGACTAAGGAGCGGCTATGCGCTGACAGCTTGTTTTATATTTGCTCACTAGAAGATGACTAAGGTGAGTTCATTGAGGATGTGCAGCTAAGCAGCGAAATGTAAGCATACATTGTTTCTTGAGGATAACACTGTGTATGAGGCACACGCGAGGCGGCGCGCAGAGACAAAGCGTTCTAGGTTGCTGAGGAAATTGTACTGTGGTATGCTGATCATGGAAAGGAAAAGGACAGCTAGGACAACTTTAGTAGCAACTCCGATACTTACCCACGCAAAGCACAGATCGCTTGAATGAAATGAATTGAAACCCAACGCGGCCACAGGAGAACGCACCATACGCATGAGGATGGAAAGTAAATAGCAGCTGACTGCGAGTAACAGCACACGAGGTCTGCTTCAGGCCATAAGATTTAGTTGGAACAAATTCCAGTATTACCTAACGTGATTATCAACATTCTTAAATTTGCAATAACAATCGGCTTCAAATGTGAGTTCGAACAGTTATCACAAGCTTATATCCCTTATTACACTTTCCAAAGTCAAGACCAAATTTGATTGCAGTTGATCGTTGCAAAGATGATCGTATCTATTTGATCATGCCTTGTTGGCGTGTCTCCTTCAACACCGAGAATACAAAATATTTAGTTGGACAACTAGAATAGAGAGGATATTGGGCGGTATTTTGGTGACCAGAAAATCTTGGTGCCTGGGACAGAGCTAAGAAAGGTTGCATGATAAAAGGACGGCGAACGGGCGGAACGCAAGCAAACATTTAATTTGTTAAATAGATCAGAGCATTAGAGGCTAAAGCGCGGCGGTGAGCCGATACTCAAGACAAGCTAGGGTGCTAAGGGAATAGTGCTAAGTTTGGATGAGCCTGAGAAAGCCCGGAGAGGAGCTGGACTCCTATATGAACTGGTGTCAGACGTTGCAGCGAGCAAGAGATAACAGCATCAAGAAAGCAGAAACTAAGGAGCGACTGGATGCTGATCAGTTGAGATAAGCTTGAGCAAATGACGAAGGCGTTGTGGCTATTCAGGGAAAACTAAACACCTGGAAAGCAGAGGCTAGGCTGCGACATTGCTTTAACCAATGTGATTAGTTTGAACGCTGGAAGAGAGTTTAGGATTTTCGACAGCTGTGGACAACGTAAAGGCGGAACGTAGGCATACGGTAATGTTGCGGGAGCAGGCAGGTGATGCAATTGGATATGTTTGTTGTAAGGTCGAGGGCCATACGCTGCGCAGAGGTCAGAGTTTTCGCAGTAGGTTGGAAAGTCTATTCAAGAAAAGGAATATAACAGTTGAGCTATTACATGAGGCAGATACGGTAAAATATGGTCGCACAGGCTTGATGTCAGCCATGAGGTGGGAAACATATATCCCTTGGGAAACGACTTGTAACGACCAATTGAAGGCAAGCATACATTTTCCCTAAGGTACAGTGGGATCTATTGGGAAAGTCTCTTATATGTAACCAAGTCCATCTCCCATAGCTCGTCCGTTAATGTTTAAAAGCATGGATACATGACTGGTTGACTGTGAGGAACCTATTAAGTGAGGAACAGAATTGGATTGCGTTATCGGATGCACGTACAGCGTGTGGAAGTCTGTTCCACGCATTTGGATATCTGTAGGGATAGGATTTTGCAGGCATACTACTGTGGGCTTTCGGCAGGATAATGCATTGTGGCCGATTACGAATAGGATTCGAAATGTTACCCGATGATAGGAAGGGTGCCAGTGAGCTCGCAAGTGGATTATTGTTAAGCATATAGAGAAAAAGGAGGTTAGTCTTCAGTCTTCGCATCTATAAGGGCTCTAACACAAGTTCGATGCACCGATCACGATAGTTAAGAGTGGAGTGACTCAGAAGACGTTTGGTGAATGATCGTTGGGTTATTTTACTGGCAACTCTGTCGCATTTTTTAGAGTTGGTAGACACAATGGAGCAGTATTCTAGCAGAGGTCAAGCGCAGGTTTTGTATGCAGCCAGCCTAGATCCGTGCAGTGCCATGGATTTGAATATGCAGCTTATGAGGGAGCGCGCTGTTACTGAGCAATGTCTTACTTGCTCTGTGAAGTATAAACAACTGGTATAAGGTACACCTAAGTCCCGATCTGTGAGTCTTTTAGCAAGCTGTGCACCTTGCAGCGCTAAATCCTTAGGCGGAACTATGCATCGGTATGAGACGACGTTGCATTTCACCGGTGAGAATAACTGCATCTGTGTTTCACCAAACATTCAGAGCCATGAGGTAGCTTTGCATCTGGGAAATACCGGCTTACATGCCTGATAGATGAATGGCAGGAACCATTTTGATGTCATTGGAAAGCTTGTAGGACTTAATATATAATAGCTGGAAACCCACATTGATATATAGCAATTATAGGAACGGGTCAAGTAAGCTGTCCTGAAAAACACTTGTGACTGGTTTGGGGAGGGAAGTAGACTCGCTCACCTTTGTTTCTTGCAGGAGAGGTGAGCGGTATGATTGGAACCACGTGAAAAGTCGGTCTGCGACTTCCTACGATTCAAGGTTTACTAATAGTCCCGCTCTTTTCCTCTCAAGGAAGATTATCACTAACGCTCCGTTTGCATCAATCTGTGTAGTCACACAGTTAAGAAACTCAGATTGACACTCTGATAAGGTTTGGATGGCAAAAGTCCGTATTGTTGTCTATTGCTAAGGTTGCCACTAAGTAAAAAGTTCAGCAAGTTTTCCTTAACTATTCTTCCCATCACTCACAATGCAATAGGCGTGTGGCTGATAGGGCGGCAGTTTTCTATGTTTTGACGGCTACTTTGTTTATATCTGGGGATAACAATAGAATGCTTCCAACTGTTTTGTTACACCCCGTAGTTCATTGAGAGTGCATTTATGTTATGAAGTAGAACAGGAATATCTTGGCCACCGAGCATCAGCAGTGCAGATGGGAGACCATCAGGGCCAGGGTGAAATGACAGCTTGGGTGATCGAATTACCGGGGTTACAGAACGTAGGTCTAAAGTAATTACAGCTAGCTA